GGCAGTTGCCTAAGATATGATAATTTGTAGCAGCTGCCTAAGATATAATAATTTGTAGCAGCTGTAGGTTTTGCCATGCCTTTCTCCCAAAGGCTACGGCTTGGCCTTCATTTTGCTGAGGCGCTATAGCGCAGAGGCAGTGGCGATGATTTTTAAGCTTGGGCCTGAAATTGATTTATATTTTGTTAAAAATTACCATGTGATTTTTGTCAAGCATCTTTGTTGAAGTCATTTGTTCCACTCTTGCTAGTTCTTACGAGATTCTGGCTAGTTCTTACGAGATTCACGACTGGACTAAAGGGGTGGTGTTGGCGTTTTCAAAGCTCAAGAAAGAGACTTCAGGAACGGCTCTCTCCAAGTAATCACTTCACCGGATTTACTTTAGTTTTTAACTTGTTATTGTGTTTTAATTTTTTATTTATTTAAATTTTTGGTTTTAAACTTTTTAATATTTATACTACTGTGTACCAGGCTACACTTTGTTCAATATTTACAGTTTATGGTTATTATTAAAATTTATCATTTACCTTAATAATGTTTTAGTTTACTTGATCACAGTTTAATTAAAATATTGTACTTTACTTCAGTAAGACTGATTAAAATAATTACTTTATTAAAGCTGAGGATGATGATTTTGTTGTTTACTTTGATTAGTTTATTGGAATTTTACAATTTTATGTTCTTTTTACTAATATTTTACGGCTTTATGCTCTTTCGACTTGGATATTTTATTTTTCTGTTTTCTTTACTTGTCATTATGTTTAGTTGAACTTTTTTATTGAATTATCTATATTACCCAATATGTTTTATCAACATTTTAACAATTAATTTCGAGGCTTACGCCTCGCGATGCAAACACTGACCTATGTTGTATGAGTTTGTTTGAGTTCTGGCAGCACACCTTATGTTATTTTTTTCATTTGTGATGAATCAATTAAATGGATAATCAGTTAGATGAATAATGTGGAGGAAATCTTATGTTTCTTTTCATCTGACCTGCTTTAAAAATACTTAAAACACTACTGGAATTATTTGATCTTTGAGCAGATTAACAACTCCAGATCTTTGAGCAATTGAACTTTGTTTTTCTTGCGATTTTTACGATGGATGGAGACTTAATTTTTAAAATTATCATTTATTCATTCCAAGTCATCTTAAATCTGGAGTTCTTATATAAAATACTATAAAGATAGTTTTTTTAATGACAATGTGGTGCTTGTGAAGTTAGTAGAACATAATGATAGGTTATTGTATGTTTTTGGAGTAATAAAAAATTGTATTTAATTGTTTAAGCATGTATATTTCTGATATGTGTCATATATATTGACATTAACGTCGCAGGTATTAGATGGACAGATCTTGGATAAAGAGTGGTAACCAAGTTTCTTTGGAATATAAAAATGGGGTCAATCAGTTCATAAACTATGCCATACTTAATTCTGAAAACCGTAGATCTATTAGGTGTCCGTGCAAAAGATGCTGCAACATGGACTTTCAAAGTCCTGAAGTCGCCAAAATTCACTTGTTCAAAGTGGGTTTTTTAGAAACATACATTGTTTGGAATAGGCACGGTGAGGCTGAAAGTAGTAACACCTCTAGAAAATCACGCCCAACCTTTGATGATCAGAGCAATATAGAGGACATGTTAGGTGATGTGTGTGAACTCTTTGATAGCAATCCAAAGAGTTTCAGGGATGTGGTTGAAGACGCAGAGAAACCTTTGTAACCAGGTTCAACTTATTCTAAGTTGTCTAGTGTGATGTTGTTATTTAACATTAAAGGGAAGTATGGATGGTCTAATCAAGGGTTTACCGCTCTGTTAGAAGCTCTGTCAAACATGTTACCTTCAGAAAACTCCATTCCAAAGTCAATGTATGAGGCAAAGAAGATAATGAAAGTCTTAGGACTAGAATATCAAAAAATCCATGCTTGTCGTAATGATTGTGTCCTTTATCATAAGAAGTACATTGATCTTGAGAACTGTCCCACGTGTGGGGAGTCTAGGTATAAGGTAAAAAAAATGGAGCAATAACCGTTAGCCATAAAATTCCCGAGAAAGTGTTGTGGTATTTTCCACCCATTCCTCGATTCAAACGCATGTTCCAATCACCTAAAACAGCTGAACACTTGACCTGGCATGCGAACCATCGAATTAAAGATGGGAAACTACGCCATCCTGCCGACGGTGCGGCTTGGACTCATATTGATAATTTATGGCCTGACTTTGGTCAAGAGTCCAGAAACTTGAGATTGGCTCTCTCAAGTGATGGAGTCAATCCACACAGTTCCCTCAGTTCTTCATATAGTTGTTGGCCTGTTCAGTTAGTCATCTATAATCTTCCGCCTTGGCTAACCATGAAAAGAAAATTTATGATGTTGTCTCTACTTATCTTTGGTCCTAAACAACCTGGCAATGACCTAGACGTTTACCTAGAACCTTTGATTGATGATCTAAAAACCCTTTGGAATGAGGGTGTGGACATTTATGATGGTTTTAGGAAGGAGACATTCAAAATGAGAGCTATACTTATGTGGACTATTAGTGACTTCCCGGCGTATGGTAACCTTTCTGGCTGTACTATCAAAGGTTATTATGCATGTCCGGTTTGTGGGCCAAACACTTGTGCGACCTGGCTACCATGCAGCAAGAAATGTTCTTACATGGGCCATCGACGTTTTTTACCTCATGACCATAAGTATAGAGACATGAAGAAGGTTTTCAATAACAAAGTAGAGCGAGAGGGACCCCCTCAAACATTTTCTGGTCAAGATATTCTCAAGTTGGTCGATGGAATAACTTATAAACCTGGGAAACCTAAAGGCGGGAAACGAAAACGAGGTAAAAAAAGTGGGGACATGAATAGACTCTTTAAGCGTAAATCCATATTCTTTGATTTGGAATATTAGCAACACTTGCTAATTCGTCATCTCTTAGACGTCATGCACATTGAGAAGAATGTGTGTGAGAGCATGTATGGCACATTGCTTGACCAACCAACAAAGACAAAAGACGGTCCAAAAGCAAGAAATGACCTTCATCGTTTAAAGATAAGGAAGAAACTTATACCTGATGGGGTTTCATTACCCCCTGCACCGTACACTCTATCCAAAGAAGATAAGAGAAAATTCTGCCAAACTATATTAGAAACAAAGGTGCCCGATGGATATTCTTCTAACCTGAAAAGCATCGTTTCTGATGATGACAATCGACTCCAAGGTCTAAAGTCTCATGATTGTCACACTTTGATGCAGCAGATACTTCCCTTAGCCATTCGAAATTTATCTGTGTCAAATGATGTCACAGATGATATCACTGGTGTGTGCTTATTCTTTAATGCCATCTGTGAGAAGGTTTTGGATATTGAAGTGCTTGACAAACTAGAGGCTGACTACCGGGTGACACTTTGTTGCCTAGAGCAATATTTTTTGCCTTCTTTTTTTGATGTAATGATTCACTTGACGGTCCATCTCATAGAACAAATACATTTATGTGGGCCACCTTACTTGTGTTGGATGTATCCTTTTGAGAGGAGAATGAAATTGTTAAAAGGGTATGTCCGCAATCATTATCATCCCGAGGGATGCATGGCCGAGTGTTATGCAGCTGATGAAGCACTTGAGTTTTGTGCTGAATACTTGTCAAACCATAAGGCTATTGGATTGCCTGACAATTTTGACGATGATGATAATATCGTCCAAATTGAACGACCAGTAGGACAGGGAGACACTAAGATAGTTGATTTGTCGTTGTTGGAGCAAGCTCATCGCACTGTCTTATTCAATACCCCTCAAGTTCATCCCTATATACAGTAAGTTGTAAGTTATAGTTGTTCAACATAGGCAATGCCAATATTTTTCGTATAAGTTACATGTCTAATCAATTGTCAAAATTGAACGGTAGGGAGCATATGGTGCACCTACAAGCAAAGAATGCTGATTGTTGTGAATCAGAGCATTATCGTACATTTACTAAATGGTTTGAAGAGAAGGTCATTCTCATAAAACATATATCTATTACTTTTCAGCATTAACATGGTTTAGTTTTATATTAATTTACTAAGTAAAAAATGTACTTTCTAGGTGAAATTTGATGTTGAGCACGGTGTCATCATAGAAGAAACGGTGAGGTGGCTAGCTAAAATGCCCAACACAACCGTGACAATATACGCGGGTTATATTGTCAATGGGTTCAAATTTTCCACAAAGGACAGAGATTCTAATCGTGTCACGCAAAACAGTGGAGTTACTCTTGTAGGAGATACAATTCAAGTGTCAAGTTCCAAGGATAGCAGTACATTCATAGCCCCAATGAGTTACTATGGCGTTCTTCATGAAATTTGGGTTTTAAACTATCTGATGACCAAGAGGGTTGTTTTCAAGTGTGAATGGGTAGAAAGTAGACATATAAAGAAAGATAAGTTAGGGTTCACGGTTGTAGATCTAAACAAAATTGGGCATAGAGAAGACTGTTTTATTTTGGCATCTCATGCAAAACAAGTCTTTTATGTAAAAGATCAACTTGACCATAGAAGAGGATTGATAAAAAGAAGATCCAGTATGGTGAGGTTGATAAAAAACCGGTTCTGAAAAAGAAGAGGATTGAAAAATCCAGTCCAAAGAAGATTGTAACAACTCCCCATATTCCAAGAAGATCACCTCGACACATAATACCTGAGATTGACACAATATTGGGAGGTGTAAAGGAAGAATTGGGTGATGAAGTGGTTGAAGTGGTTAAAGTCCATTGTAGGCCTAACATGAAAAAAACTGGACCTTCCAGGAAGCTGAACATGCATCGAACAACGAGGTATGTTGCAGAGAAAAGAAAAGAACAAAGCATGAACATGAGGATGTTCTCAATCCTAGTTGAGCGGTGTCTGGGAGATGGGTGCACCATAGAGAATGAAGCTGAGGTTTTTGGATTTCCGACGAAGTCAATGTTCAACAAAGACATGTGCCACATAGTTATGAATTGTGAGAAGGTCTCAAATTCTATAGTAGAAATTTGGTGCAAGTAAGTGTTAGTTATGCATTAAACAAAAAATTAATGTAAATGAGAGTTTTGTATTCAAAATATTATATTACTGTATTCTTAATTATAGGTGCCTTTATGAAAAAATGGTGGAGGATGGAGGATACTTTCATGTTCAGTTTGGGACATCGTCTGCTATACCGCGACCAAAGAGACATTCTGATGATTCGATCACAAGAAGGTCACGATACATCGCAGATCTTTTGGGTGTTGCGCTGCTTGGTCAAATAACATTAATCCCGTACAATTCAGGGTACAACCATTGCAAAAAAAAAAAAATTGCAGCTTGTTCGTTGTAATGATATATATGATAACACTTGTCTATGATTTTGCCTATGCAGTGATCATTGGGTGTTAGTTGCAATTGACATGGAGATGGGTAGTATCTATTACTTAGATTCCATTGGAGCTATTCCACCAGATGACCTGAAGATTATTGTGACTCAGTTAAGTATACATTTCCCTCTTCACTTCAAGTAAAGTTTTAGGTGTTTTGTTCCCTATAATCCTATTCTGTATAGGCTAGCTAGTATAGTTTTCATGCTAGTTTGACACATACGTGGTACGATAGTAAATCATATATCGTACTGCGTATAAGTTCAGAATGTTTTGCAGTCATACCTGCACACATGTTAAAGATTTATATAGAATACAAATGTTTCAAATCATATAGAGATACATCAAATGTGATTCAGAATGTATGATTTATAATGTATATACTTGTTGATTGAGTATTGTTTGATGATGAAGTATTATACATTGTTTCAGAGGAGTACAAATACATCATGCAGCAAAGTTCAAGGATAGGTTAAAAGTGAAGTGGATCACAGTCATGGTATACCTATATATCTAATTGAATTTGATGTTTGTATCCCTTATGATGTCTATAAAGTGATATATGTATATGTAATGTGTCTGCGTGTGTCTTTATATATATGTGTGTGTGTGTGTGTGTGTGTGTGTGTGTGTGTGTGTGTGTATATATATGTGTGTGTGTGTCCATTTAATTTGTATTTAATTTGTGTATAGTGCCCAAAGCAAAAAGGATCTGTAGAATGTGGGTACTATGTAATGAAGTATATGAAAGACATAGTGGCTGATGTCCATATTCTGAAGAACAATGTGAGTTACAGTACTTTATTGGCTTTTAGCTTGATTTAATTTGAATGTTTAGATTATGTTTAGGTTCATGCATGTTGCTAAGTTTTCATTTCTTTATTAAGTTTTCTGCAGTTCAGGAGTATTGCGAAGAAGATATTTTAGCGATACGTGAGGAGGGGATTTCGTATGCAGCTACCTTGATGAATAAGTATGTTGATATTTTCAGTACATTCTTCAAATTAGCTTGTGTATAGAACTTAAATTGTCTGACTGCACATACTTTTGGCATATATATGTTTAGTGATAAACTTGTGCTTTTTTACAGAGTTTTGTGAGCATGTAGTACTCCAAGTTGGGCTCTGGTAGATGGATTTGGAGAAGATTTTGTGGAACATGCATATATATATAATATGGAAGCTTTTTTGGAATGAATGTTGTGGCATGGTAGAAGTTGTACTATGAAAGTGTTTTGGATGTGTTATGCCCACTTGAATCAACCATTTTGTTTACATACATTGGGTTGTATGTTACATTGAATCCTCATTTTGAATACTCTTTGGATATACAATATATTTATGGGATTCACTTCATTTATTAATTAGTTGTTATTAACATAATAGATGGATTATATTATTAATATAGCTGCATTTAGAAAATTTTGGTAAGTAAATTAATGATACCATTGTATCAAAAAAATGTGTGATGTAAAAATGTCATTAAATTTTGTAATGTCAATGTGTCATTAAACTGTGTGACATGTTTGTGTTTTAAACATATTGTTACAAATCTGTCATAATATTTTACAACATTATAATGTCACCATTTTCTGACACATATTTTGTGACTCATATGAAGTGTCACAATTTCCGACCTACCTTGACTTTTGTGAAGTGTCACAGAAACTTTCAGTGACACTTATTTAAAGTCATTATAGACCATTTTTCTAGTAGTGATCGGTGGATCTGCAGGAGCTGACGGTAAAAGAGCCGATGGACGGCGAGGGCGAGGTCCAAGGCAGCTCCGGCGCAGATGTTGCAGATTCCTTCTTCTTCATCTTTCCCTGTTCCCCGTCCTTCTCTGACCTTCTTCTTTTCTGCTGTTGCCGCACTTTTTCTCTCGGTTCTTCTCATATTTAGATGCTCTGTTTTTTCTTCCCAGTCTTTTATACTTCTGTTTGTTCGCTGCTCTTGTTTTTTCTTTTTATCTTGCTGCTTAATTTTTTTTTTCTTTTTTCCTTTACCAAATTGTAATTTTGTTTCATTTATATTTAATTTAATGTGCATTAATTTTTATTATTACTTCTTTATTTCATTTTAACAATTGACCCATCACCCATGTAATGTTGGATTTACTGCTTTAATGTAATGTGAATATGCGATTGCTACAATGGTGGATTTCTTTCTCAATGTCATACGGAGTATACAATAAATAATATTAATGTGAAGACAAAAGACAATGTCATGTTGTTAAAAATGACAATTTAAAAAAAATTATGTTAACATTGTCATATTTTTTGTTCGTGATTTAGGATTCTATGTTCTTTTGTATTTGAGCAATTATATTAAATTTTAAATAATGATAATATCATATTTTCATACAATGACATTTATATATACTACATTGTCATATAATTACATTATATTACGTTGCTGAAAATTGTTTTTTTATCCAAGTAATGTCAATTTAATATCATTGCCGCTGTTTTTAACAATGTCATTTTTATAGCATTGATGTTGTCATGACAGTCATTGACGTCGGCATTGGCATTGTCATTATCACAATGTCATATTTTACTTCGTGTTTTTTCGTATTAATGTTAATTAATTAATTAATTACGAAAATAGGGTTGGATTAAAAGTATTTACCAAAATACTGTTGGTTTAACCATGGTCGGGGAAAGTGGCCTAGCGGTTGGGCGACTTATAAGTCGCCAAACGGTTTGGCGACTTATAAGTCGCCCAACCGTTGGGCGACCGACGAATCCCCCCACCAGCAGCGAGCGACGACCGGTGGGGTCATTGTCATTATTTGACATTGTGACAGTTTTTTGACATTTTGATAGTTTTCCGATATTGTCAACTTTTTACAATGGAATGACAATGTTACAATATCTCAATTTGATTAGCGAAATAATGACACTTCTTGACAATGTCACAATATTAATATCTCAATGTCACAATATTAAAATGACATGACAATGGTACAATATTACAATGTCACAGTATCACAATGTCATTTTGTTGATAATAAAAATGTTAATAAATTAAGTCGACATTGGCAAATTTTTTTATTTTCTTTTTGACTAGTTTTGACTAGTTGTTTTAGTTTGAGTTTACTCAAAGATATTAATTTTCAAACAAGTACACGATTACATTATCATATAATGACATTATGTATCATTATATTGTCAATAATGTATTATACATTCGTCAACAATATTTTTTCTATATATATATATATATTATAGAATTGACAATGTTATGATAGTTGTTGACATTGTCATTATTACAATGTCATTTTTATAATAGTGACATTGTTATTGTTATTGTTATTGTTATTTGTGAAGTCTCTCTGACATTGTGACATTTTCATTTAACAATGTCATTTTTATAACATTGACAGTACTTGGCATTGACATTGGTTTTGTCATTTTTATAGTATTGACATTGTCATTATTACGATGTCATTATCCATAACATTGATATTGTCATTGTTGTTATTTGACATTGTGAGGAATGACATTATTTTACATTGCCATATAATTACATTTTTTTAAACAATGACATTATATTACATTTATTGTCATTTGATGACATTGATTTTTAAGTAATGACATTATATATACTACATTGTTATCATATAATTATGTATGACATTAACTTTTTAAACGATGACATTATATCATTTGAAATATTAACATATCATAACATTGCCATTGTGTTTGGTCAAATTTACACTGGTTTTTAATAACATTTGCATTTTTTAAAGTAAAATCATAAAACAACAAAGCAAAAATGTACCGAAACAACAAGTATCCAAAATAACAATAAAATCCACTATCCAGCAACATAACGAAACAGTTTTTAGAAAATTAATTTCGATCCGTAAAGTAAAATAGGGAGTAAAAAACATCATAACTAAAGGTAATAACTAAGAAATTGAAAAGTAAATTAAAGCTACGTAGGAACAGAGACGACTAAAGCAGCACAATAGAACTTGATAAATGAAACAAGAGGGGAGAAAGAAGAAGATGAGGAGGTAATGGTGGAGGAGGAAGCTAGAATAAAAAGAGGAAGGAGAAGAAGACTAGCCGGCGACCACTCCGGCGACAACCAGTGGCAATAAGCACACCAGGGCCAGATTCGGATGCTCTTAGCCGACATGGACGCAAGTAGGAATGGAGTCGTCGATTTCACGAACTAGTCACATCTATCTATAATAATATATAGGAACAATATACTTACGAGTATTTTATTTAGATTAAAAATTTCTTTATTATGAATTGATGATAAAGAATAAAAAAAATAGACCGAGTCATAATTTATGTTGAAGATAAAGAAAAATTAAATTGATATTGTGAAACAAATTTTAAGTATTTACTTAAAATTGATAGCAAATAATAATATGTGAGAATATTGGGTACAATCTCTAAATATGAATCCTCTGATTCTTCACTTGCAATTTGATATGAATATAATTAAAGAATTTAATTAAAAATTAAATCTCTAATTCTTCAAATATTTGAACGTTCTTTGTATCTTCGAATCTTCGTTCTTGAGATCTTCGAACCATCGTTCTTCGGATTTTCAAATCTTCTTGAATAAAGAATTCAGCTTGAAGGGCCTCCGGTTTTCAAGTGGCTTGATCTTCAACAAAAGGGCCGTTTTATGGCTTGATCTTCTGTTTAAGGGCCTCCTGGGATATATGGCTTGATCTTCAATTGAATTTTGATTCAATCTTCATATGAATATCTTCAAATCTTTAAAGATTCGTTCTTCATATCTTCGAATCTTCAAAGCTTCGTTCTTTAGATCTTCGAATCATCAAGCTTCGTTCCTCAGATCTTCGAACGTTCTTCAACTTTTGGCTTTGTTTGATCAAGAATAGATGAAAATCACAAAGGATTAATCATATATTCTTGACAAAAACATGGTGTGATATCTTCCGATGTTTCGGAATCCTTCAGAGCCTTTCGGGAGTTCTTCAGAGCTTTTCTGCAGCGTTTTTTCGACTGGAAGTTCTTATCCATTCCTCTCAACTAAGACCCCTATTTATAGGTGTGAGGGGGTGAAAATATGCTTTAGGGTTTTGCAAATTCGTCCATACCGCTTGAGCCTCAATTAAAATGGGCTTCGGGCTCTATTTACTTGCATTAAAAAGAAAAATAATACACTGCATGCAAGGAAGAAAAAGTGAAAGTACACATATGTAACAATGGGATACGATCGTATATCGTAAACAGGATAATGATCTCATGCTATAATTTGTGGTAAAGAGATACTCACTTTTGGACATTAAAGTAGCATATTCTTTATTGCCTAAAAGTAAATTGTCCTAAATAGGACTTTGAAAATTCCAAAATTGGATTAGTATATATTTCTTCTTGAAATAAGAGTCATTATAGTCATGATTGAAAAAATATTACCATGATTAAAAAATGTTGTTATAAAATATAATGTATATTGTCATGTTAAATGCATAATATTGCAACTACGGAGTATTAAGGGTGTTTTTACTTGAATTGTTTTCAGTCTCAGACCAGACCATATCAGACTTAAATAGACCAGACCAGACTTAAACAAGTCAAATCAGACAAGACCAAACCAGACTTGAACAAACTAGACCAGACCATACTTGAATTCCGTATAATAGTTATAAAATACACAAAGACTAAACATTTACCAGACCAGTTCAGACTAGATTAGACCAGACCAGACTTAAACCGACCAGAACTATTTTTGAATTGCAAACGTTGTGTAGTGCTATTTTGGGAAATCACCCTTGGCTAACACAATGTGCGGTCTAATCTACTACGGAGTATGTAATAACAATAATATACTATTAAAGGTAATAATAGTAATAAATAAAAATAATAATAATAATAATAATAATAACAATAATAATAATAAGAATAATAATAGTAGTAGTAATAACGATAATATTAATAAGATTAATAATAATGATAATAATAGTAATAAATATAATAATTATAATAATAAGGGAAAAATAAATAAAATACCCCAAACTTTGAAGGGGTGTGAGGTAAGCACCCCAAACTTGCACATGTAATTTAAGTACCCTAAACTTAGTAACCTAGTTTATGTTCAATTTACTTACATTTAATATGGCATAAAAATCACATATCTAATGACAATTTTTTATTAGTACACGCTGATCACAATTTGGCCAAACAAATCACGTGCTCTCTAGAACTTATCACAAACGTTCGAGAGATTCAAATCTAAATTGTTCGAACTATTCATTAGGTTCCCACTGTCATCTAATGACATAGTTAAAAAATGTAATTATTGTTGTGAGTTTTCTCGCACTTAAAATATGTAGTAGAATAGTGGTGCAAGTACGAGTATCGTCTCCGCATGGACGAGAAAATGGAATCAGGAATTAACTAAATTCAAATAAAAAGTGCAATTGTGCGAGATTGATTGTTGAAGAATTAAACTAATGCGAAATAGCAGATAAAAATAAAGGTGGATTTCTAATTAATGACAATAGGGAACATGGATTGATTTCCGGGAAATCAAATTTCTGGCTGATCAGGCTCAATCACATGAAAAATATTTAATGAGCAACGCTTATCAGTACTAAGTTTTAACCGTTCTCGCGGCGTAGAGTATAATAATTTAGGGAACCAGGCTGATCTCTCATGCAACAGGTGTCTAAAAATTATTGCCCAAATGAGCGAGCGTACGAACACAAAAACAAGGGTTTATGGAGTGTTTAAATAGAAAACAGATCAATCCGGACCGAAATAGGACACCTGGGGGCAAAAATCAACATGCGAGGTCGTCTGCTCGGTGATCCGCGAGGCGCACAGGTGACAACGCGGAAGTTCCGCGCATCAAAATTTTGTTCCGCCCGCACAACATGCGGATCCCGCACGGTCCAACTATGCGGGTGCTTCTGGGACCGTGGGCCGTGCGGTTCAGACTTCTTGACTTCTAGCTTGCACAATCACCCGCGGAGCATGCGAGACTAGCCCGTGGGGCGCGCGGATGACTCTTGAACCGTTTTCTTGCTCTTCTCTTTGTCGTTTGCTCTCGATCGATTCTATCTTCAATCTTTAACCTTCCAAGCCTCGAACCATGACTCTAAATCATCCCATGGACCTCTGATGTCTCTCGCTATCTCTTGAACGCATCCCCGAATCTTCTCAAGTTCAGCTCAACGAATGCAAGTCAAATTTAATTAAATTTATTAAATTTAATACTTCCTAGCTACGTAGTGTTAGTTATTTTACTATTCGATCACATTTTCAACACAAAAGCATAATATTTAATTATCTTATGAGCTATTTTTACTGTCAAAATATTATATACTCTTTCAGTCTTTCAATCCGCAAAGATTGCCGTAATCAATTTTTTTTTTCAGTTTGTCTCATTAAAATTGTTTCATACTCCCTCCGTCCCAATTTGTTTTGCAAAGTCAACATTTTTTGATCAACCAATAATAAAAGTCAACCCTCTGTATGGATAATTAATTCAATTTTTAATAATTAAAATTTACATATTCAAAAACTACATTAAAATCTCTTCAAAGTTGTAAACTCCAAATTAGAAAATAATTAAAAATTGACATCCTAATTATGTGAACAAAACGAGACTGTTTGACTAAGAAAAGTCAAATTTGCAACTCTTTTTGGGATGAAGGTAGTACTAATTTTAATAAAATTTATGTGATTTTAAATCATTTTTACATTATTCTTACATTATCGAATCATTTAATAACCAAGCACTCCAGCCTAGCTGGTTGCGAGGTTACCGTGCCTAGCGAGAGGTCTCGTGTTCGAATCCTGCTAGGCACACAAGGGTGTGAAACTCAATGGAGTGAGTTTCAGCACTGATTACTCCAAGCTCCCCCAACCCCCTCCCCAGACCCCCTAGAGTTAAAAATAATATCATATCAAATTGACCACATAACTTATTTTTCTTAAGAACCACATCAGTTCTTCATGTCCGTTAGTGAAGCGAAGTTAGTTGCAGTAGTTAATATGGTACGGAGTATTTAAAATTCCTAAACTCCTACATTATATGTTGAGAGTTGATTTTGTCGTTTGGTTTAGTTCGCTTGAACATTTTGAAATCTCACTTTTTCACCACAAGATTTGTTAAAACTCAGGGTTCCATCCTAAAAGGTCAACCTGATAGGAGAAGTAGCTCATGTGTTAATATAGCACTTTGTTCATCCAAATTTTTTCGGTGTCGGAAATTTAACAAGAGTTTTGTTGTTGCTTGGTTTTGTTGAGGATCGATTCCGTCGCCGGATTCCGGCTCATGCAGTCCAGTGCTCAGTTTTCCAGTTGTCTCTTGTGCACACCTAGGCTAAGGGAGCAACACACCACTCTAACATCGCCAACACTCACACTAACCTCACCAAGAAGGATAATGGTTTCACAAACACTCTCACTCACCAAGAAGAAATGAAGGAGGAAACTCTCTGTGTTTCACTCGCAGAACAAAGGGGCAGGGAGTGTCCTTATAACAGGGAAGCATTTGGCTTTATTAGAAGGGCTCACAAGGACACTCAAATAATACACTGCACACACAACTCATCACTAGCTCAATAATGAGCTGAATTCAAATTCTAACGGGAGAGGCAATATTAATAGGCCAGATAGATAAATGAGTATAGTGTAGTGGGCTGCTAGAAGGTGTGTTAACCATTATTAATATACAAAAAACGTTTGGGCCAACAATATATTAACAGGTTTTCTTCGCTTCAAAATTTTGAAATCTCAGCTTTACACCACAATAGTCAAAACCTTGAAGCCTCTTACACTCTTAATTTCACTAAGATAGTAATATATTATAATCACACTAAATAATCAAGAAGAAAAGAAAACAACTTTATTTGCTCAAAGCAATTGAGAAGGAATAGGATATTTATTTCTCTCTTTAGAAGAGCTAGTTGTACCACTATATTTGAACGACTTTTGAGTTGTGATCTGTAAGTTTGGAAGAACTAGCCCCCACTTATTGCTGCTCTAGTAACCATCATACTAATGTCACAAAACTACCCATCTAGAACATATTGCAATGCTATCAAACATATTAATATGATACTCGTATATGTTTGCATCTTAGTTGATCTGAGAGTTACAAGAATACCCATTACCTGAAATAACTAATTGAGAAGATTTTCAAGTTCAGATAAAACATGTGCCATGGTTGGCCTTGTAGTTGGCCGACTATGAACACATTGATAAGCTATGGTAAGAGCAACTTTTGCATCTTCGATAGGATAAACATCCAACAACTTGGGGTCCATTATCATCACGAATGGTGTTGCACTGTTCCTTATGAGTTTTGCAAATTCACCCCATAGTTTCCGTCCTGATAGTAATTCTAATAGGACCATCCCGAAGCCATACACATCACTCTTTTGAGTCGTTTGGCCTGCCATTAAACAAAATTTTATAGTAATAGTTAACGGCTAAGTATTACGAAGTATTATATTCACCTTATACATATGAAGAAAAATAAGTTAAAAGCTCAAAGGTTAAAATAGATGATCTAATTCCTAAATTTGAAATGAGTTACTAGGTATTATTACTTTATTTTATACAGGAAATGATAATTTGGTTTTTGAGGAATGGAATCATAATATGTGACAGAGTCTTCCCAAAGTCTAAAAAAACTTTTAAATGTTTTTACTTGGACTGAAATTTGTTGATCTCTTCTGGTCTGATCTGGTCTTTTTAAGTTCGGTCTGATCTAGTTCATTTAAGTCTGGTCCGGTCTGATTTGTGACCGAAAATAATCCAATCAAAAACATTCTTACCCTAGGGCATAGTACTTGTTTGTATATATACTAAATAAGTTAGGGAGGGGGGGGGGCACGACTGCACAAGACCTAACACACACCAAGTGGGCGGAGCCCGTAGTAAAAAGGAGTGACGTGAAAATGACATATGCTCATAGTAATAGCTGAGCATGCGGTTTGAAAGTAAATGTATGCATAGAGCGCCCTAATTAAATGCATTTATGATAAAGATTAAGTTGAGAAATAAATTTACGAAGGAACCTGTGAGCATTTGTTCTGGTGATGAACCAAATCTTTTTCTAATTGTCCACATACGCTGATGATTAAGATTCAAGTACTTGGCATACCCAGAAAAGTGGGTGTGGCCAAAATCAGAAAGCTTTGCATTAAAATCCTACGAAATTGGATATATAACTCAAAAAGGGAATATTCAAAAAATAAAACTTAAAAAAGAACTTAATTCAATCAAATGATAGTGAAATTTTCAAAGGTGATGCAAGCATATATACCGAGTCAAGAAGGATATTCTCAGTTGAAAGGTCCTCACGGTAAACAACATGTTCACTGAGACTGTGCAAGAAGGATAACCCTCGTGCAACACCAACTGCTATACGCATCCTTATAGACCATGACATGACTTCACCACCTGCGCATGTACATTGACATCAACTCACAAAGTGGATCATTCAATTGAAAAATTGATTCTAAATCACTATAAACTGTATGTCATACTATAAAATATTCCAATACTACAAGATGTATGGCCAAGCATGGAATGCCTGAGAAGAGCATAAAGGATTAATACAACTCCTCATACAAACTTTATGTAATTTCTTTTATTAGTTCATCTGCTAAGAATGTCATGGTTAAATGTACTTGAGATATGTGAACCCCTACGAAGATTTCTAGGTTGCTCGAGAGACAAAGTTTGTCATAAAGACTTGCGTTAGTTTATGAGCACAATATTAGGTTTAGAGATATGCAAACCCCTACGACGTTTTTAGGGTACTCACGAGTAAGAACAAAATATTCGATCACAAAGACTTGTGTTAATTAGCTCTTGAGGACATTATTAAATTTGGAGATAATCCAAGTTAAGAGTTAAAATTTCAGACCCTGCTACATTTTTGCTTCATTGTTTGGTTAAAATACATTTCCTTGCTAGAAATGGGGGTATTGGAGATAATTAGTTTATGTAATTACTTATAGATCTTAAAGCATCATAAATCTAAACACAGTTTCTCATTAGTAACGACCTTAGTTGATTAGTTGAACACAAAGAATAAAGAAAAGATATGATTTGACTAATAAATCTATAACCCAAAACTTAATTAATTACCCAAAAAATCCAATAAATCTATAACCCAAAACTTAATTAATTACCCAAAAAATCCGTGGTCAAGTGGTCTTGCCCATATAATAATGTATATAGATTATAGATGAAATGGAGTTAAACTTACTTACCCTCGAATAGATGGTTCCCCAAATTTCCATTTCCCATGAACTCATATACCAGAAATCTTTTTTCAGAGTCCAAGCAATACCCAATCAATCTTACGAGATTTGTGTGTTGGAGCTGGCCCAACTCCAAGCATTTGGCATCAGACTACATGCACAGATTGTTACAGTAATTACAATTCCATTCGATTAGCAATAAATGAATGACATATCATGAAGTTTAGAATTCATCCTTTCCAATAATTCAAAAACATACTTCCCAATCTTGATCAAGTCCGTACAGGCTTCTCGTAAACATCTTGACAGCCACTACTACCCCAACGCCTGGTTTGGATGGAGCCAAGGTTTTTTGGTCTATCCAGCCTCTGAAGACGGAACCATAACTTCCCACACCAAGAAGGGTATTATGAGAACTGAATTTTTGTGTCGCAATATTGAGCTCACCGAAGCTATAACATTTTAGGCCATGAGAAGAGAGGGACGATTGGTGAAGTACTTCCAGTGGATCAGCCAAGCTCTCATTCGCTTCAGGATGGAAAACATCATATGAGACATTGCATGCACTTCATGCATATATGTATTCTATTCTATTTGAGTTTTGGGTTAATTTTTAGTTTTTACACCCAAGAATAAAGCTAATTAGATAGCCATGGAGTTTTGCAAATGTTGTCAAAGAAAATGTTTTTTCAAAAGTGTTCCTGAAATTAAATAAAACATATTTATAAAATAAAATATGACTAAAGTTACTACAAGTATAGTGTCATGGTCATGACTTAAATATAAAATTAAACATAAGTTTGTTGCTGTGGTTGAAGTTACCACTAATCCACTATAGTCACTACACTTAAAATGTCACATTTTTATAAATAACATTTATTTTAGTGATATATAATTCCCGAGGTACAACTTTGACCGTTAATATATATAATTCCCGATTAGTAAAAAAAGTTCAAAAAATAGATTTTGAAAATTTATAATGAGAAAAATTTAACAATATTTTTTTCAAAAATATATATTATTACATTAATAAATAAAACATAGTCAAAGTAGAACATATGAATAGTGCAAAAAGTCCAACATTGCATTTAAAAGAGAACGGAGGTAGTATGTAATTATTTTAATTTCTTTGATGTGTTTAAATCTCATCTTGTCTGATCTATTCCAATTTAGTACATGTATATTTAGGTCGAGTCTTATTATTCCTGTATAGTTTGTTTAAATCTAGTTAGCCAAGTTTGTTTAGACATGATACACCATGGTTTGTCGCCGATCTAGGGGTAGCCGGAATCCGGGAAAATATGAACGACTGAAAAGTGCTAAAACCGGGTAGACAATTGGGAAAAGTGAAAACAAAATTTGGATCCCTTTCCACAAGCTGGAAGGTTATATTTACACTAAGGGAGAAATGTTTGGCCAACAAGTAAAAGATGCTAATCTATTGTGGTGAAGACACGTGTCTCACCTGCCTAACAGAATAAATGTAGTAGTCTAATAACATGGTTTATGGTCATCCCGAAGCTCACGCAAGGCCGAGCTCAGCGCTCTACATACACGTGTGGACTTAGATGTTTCAGTACAAACATTTTAGACAAATCAAGGACTACGTCACCAAGCAATAATAAACTCCAGAGCCGACATCCTTTCACCTGCAAAAATTCCTTTTGTACACGTTTTTGTACCCATCAGTACACGCATGTGTCTGTGAGAGTTTTTTTTTGTCTGTGAAGTGCGGTCCACAGACATAAGTTCGCTTGTTTTGTCTGTGGAAAATTTCACAGACAAAACAAACCAGCTTTTGTCTGTGGACCGCACTTCACAGACAAAAAAAAACTCTCACAGACACATGCGTGTACTGATGGGTACAAAAACGTGTACACCAAGAATGGTTGTTTCACCTGTTACAAACCGGCTGTCGCACTAGACATGTGCGGCTTATCCAGGCATTATGTTAGCAAAGGACAATCAGTCATACCCATCAACTAATTAAATAATGATTTTCTCACCAATTAGCCCATACATGTGGCACATTCTTATTCGAATACTACGTATCTATTTTACTCCCTCCGTAACATTCATATCTTCTCACCTTCCTTTTTTGGATGTAACATTTATATCTTCCCATTTCTAAATCTTCCCATTATACCCTCAATAATTTAAAAAACAATACACTATTACACCTACTTTTTTTGGATTTATCCTTCATTCCATCACATTATTTCACTATCTTCCCATCATACCCTCAATAATTCATAACCCTTTTCACTATTCTTAATCTCACCCACTTTTGAAGTGGGAAGATATATGTGATACGGAGGGAGTACTTGTTCACAAATATTAGAGATTTTCCTTTTATATAGTCACCTTCCAGCTTGTAGGAAAAGGGACTCAAATTCTGATTTAGCATACAGTTACTTTGCCAAATTTCATACTCAATTCATACTTGTGCTTTTTGACTCATGCTCGGACCTTACTACCTCAAGACTTAAAGGACCATCAAGTAGTAATTTAGTCATACTACGTAGTATTTATGTTCAATTTTTACATTTTAGTTAGTATGAGATTGTACTATAGTAACTACAAGTCATATTTTTGCAAATAAGTTTCATTTCAATAATATTTTTTAAAAAACCATCCGCAAAAAGTCTCTCTAATATAATAAAAATATTTATAGTTATACTATTTTCAACCTCAAAACAAACCGGCCCTGACTAAGTTGTAATACTACCTTTGTCTTGTTGAAAGATTCTCATGACAAAATGACACAGTTATTTACACAATAGTTAAATAAGGTAATTCTAGTATATTTTGAAAAATAATTTTAATAGGTACATATTATAATGGAGGTATTGTTGATTACTGTGATTTTATAAATGTATTATTTTTAATATTTAATAATTAAATTATCATTTAGGATTGTTAATTGTTTTCTAAACTAGAAATGAAAACCTTTATATGGGATGCTTAGAAAAAAGAAAGTGATACCATTTATATAAGACGGAGGGAGTAAAAGTGTAAGACATACATATCAAATCATATGTGAATGTTGTGGTTATTCACTCACTTAAACAAAGTAGATGAAATCAAACTTAAACGAATCAAATAAAAAAAATTCAATCTAAATAAAAGCATCCTAAATATAACAACAATTACAATAACATATCAAAGCACATGCTACTAAACAAGTCTTTAATAGGCTGAGCCAAGCTGGATCATATTATATTTAGAAAATTGTAAAATATACATTAAACATGTTTTTATTAGACTAAACGAAATCGAGAAATAGCCCAAAATAGGAATAACAATGTTCTTCATTAGAAGAAATCAGACCATTAAAATTCAGTCGAAGTTGAAAAAAATCTATAATTTGTGAAACACTAAAAAAATCTTCCCCACCGCCCCTCCAAAACATTAAAATATATAATTTTTGTAGGACTCAAAAATTAAAAGCATCTAAACTTCAAATTATATTTTTTTACAAATTTGAGTAAAACACAAAATTATAAAGTACTCCACTACGTTAGACATGACAATGGGGCGGGGCGGGGCGGGTATTGCAAGACCCGAACCCGCCTCGTGACTTGGCGGGGCGGGTCCGCCCCTCCCCGTGACCTGCACGGGTCCAAACTTGTTGACCCATGACCCGCCCCATGCGGGGCGGGGCGGGTCCGCCCTGCCCCGCCGCAACCTAATTAGCTAGTTTGTATTTTTATTTGTGGGAAGTGGTTACCAATTGAATCTACATAATTTTTATCTCTAAATAATAATTAAAAATCAATATATTAAATCAAATTTATGATACGCTAAAAATTTCAAAAATTAAGGAAAAATTACTCAAACTTGAATAGTTAATCTAATTAGTTATATTAATAATTGAATAAATGTATTAAAATTATATATATAAAGAAGACGTTGATAATCTGTCGTACATCTCATTCTATTATATATTCATATATTATAAGATCAAAGAGTTTATGATTTATTGTATACACACATATGTATGTTGAAGTATATTTGTAGTATAAGTTAAGAAAAAGTATATATTGAGCGGGGCGGGGCGGGGCGGGTCAATTCTAATACCCGGACCCAAATTGTCTTCCAGGGCGGGGCGGGGAGGGTCAATTCTAATACCCGGACCCAAATTGTCTTCCAACACGGACCCGCCCCATTTGCAAGACGGGGCGGGGCGGAGCCGCCCCAAATGTCTCGGGCCAGGGCGGGTCATTGCGGATCTGATTTTTTTGACATCCCTACACTACGTATTATAGAAAATGACGCATGCTTTTAACAATGTCGCAATGAACTACAATTGTGAAATACTCCTATTATGTACTCCATCCGTCTTAGTAAATCTTTTCGTTTCATTTTAGAGAATAATTAACACTTTTAAATGACAAATTAATCATCATCATACTTTAAATATAATATACATATAACATCACAATTATCATCAATAACCTTATTATGCTATGTACATATAAGAACTACTTCAAAATATACTCACGTTACCTTATTATCAACATCTAAATAAGTGTGAGAAATTTAAGTCGGGATTGAAATAATACTAGCTTAAGTATGTGTCTTCATATGTATGACTTTACTTAGAGCACTTTCATATGTTTTTCTCCACAATGTCAAGACAAATGTCTAGATGTAGATATTGTAGTTGACATTATTGTTAAAAAAGTATCAAAATTATACTCCCTCCGTCCCAAAAACAACTTCCCAGTCACTATTCATTGGTCAACTTGAATCACTCGTAATCTTTTACTTTTTATATCAAATTTAAATTTTATTGATCAGGCTTTGTAGCGGTTTTAATGTAGTTTCTGAATATGTAAATTTTATTTACTAAAAATAATCCGAGTGTGAGCAGGGACCGAGTTGCTTTATCGTCAGTCAAACATCGTAAACCGAACGGGAAGTTAATTTTGGGACGGAGGTAGTATTAAATTGTAGAAAGAAAGAGAGAGGAGTGTGAAGCATTAGTTTTTCTATTCATATATTTCTCATGTCACGTGTACATCGTACACATTGTGACATTATAGATGATCTAAATTTGCAATACTCAGCATATACAACATGTATATTTACTCATTCCGTATTGAAATGTTTGCTTCAATTATTTTTGGGATGGATTTTAATTTTTGCTACATTTCTCTATTTGGGAAAGTTTTTATTTTTAAAAAATTCAATTAATTTTATTTTTCTATTTTATCCACTCTTTCATATCATCAGTCCTACTTATTCAACATTATTCATTACCCATATTTCAAGAGGAGAAATATAAGATCATTTAAATTTTTGTATGTAACACAGTAAAAAACAGAAAAATGTCTCCTATGAGATAGGAAAAAGCATTCCAAGCCACAAGAATCTAGATGTAATAAATTATAATCTATAATTATAGTGTGACTAATTTTTTTAACTGATTAAATTTTCAATAAATCTTTTTGTACACATTTTTTGTACAACATCTTATACATGTTTTTTTTGGGAAAAGAGACCAATAGAGTCTCGAACTTACATAAAAATGTCAATTACACAGTTATCTTCAAGAATTCATTTGAATGCCTTCCCGATTTAAGTTTTAGCTGAAATTTGGTATGCGTAAACTAGACTTAATGGATAAGATGTTCAAAAAATTCCATCGAAAACCGCCTTAAATGACGATGGCCGCATATAATCTCATATATAAGGCCTCATTTTTTATGTAAATTCGAGACATGTTTTTGAATAGTTAAAAAACATGTTCGGACTTGGGATGAGTGAAATTGCTCATGGAAAAAATCATAGCCACTCACAGTCACAATGTGCAGGAAGTATGTATAGAAAAATGATGTTCATATTCTAGCAACGTTTTCGAGTGATAACAGGATAATTATTACCACAGAAATGGTTAGGAGGAAGCATCTGCGGTCTCCCTAAGCAAAGACCCATATCTGCACGGAGGAAGCGTCTGGTTCGGGAATGGCAGCTCCTTAGATCTACGATTTTGGATATCTACAGTTCTTCCAGATATTGGCCAGATTTTGAATCGTTGCTGTGAGTAATTATATATGCCTGGGATTCTTTCATTGGGGGTGGGCGTATTACAATTTGCATTCCAGTTTAGTAATTACGCGTAGAATTTACAGAATTGGTACCACTAAACCAAATTAACCAAACATTGCATCACGTTTTCATGAATTGTCTGACTCTGATTTTAGAAAAATGGACTTCATCAATTTAATTTTCGTGAGACAGATTTTATCAAAATGTACCTTCTCCGCGTTGGGGTGATAAATGCAATAATGCAGTAAGACTCCTTTTACTTTTGCCATTTTTTCTATTTTTTGGTAATTGTTTCTCCATGATGTCCAGAAAGGAGTAGGCTGCTTTTTTAATTGAAAGAAAGCGACAAGTTTTCCATAATAAAAAAACTCTCCATCTCAAGATAGCTCCTTTATGTTGAGGTTTGACCGGGGAAATAGATATCTCTCTGGAAAAAAAATCATATTAAGAAATTGCAATTAAAGTTCTCAAAGATTGATTTTGAATATGAAAAAAATTGATTCTGAATATGAAAAGAATTGATAAGTAAAATTAGAAATCAAAAGTTAGATGCTTTGGCTAGTGAATAGTAAAATGTTACTGTTAATTTTGAGAGAGGTAGTACATATGTAGATACGGTAACACACTAAAATTAGTATTGACCACTGCTGGCCATATCCCTGACTTAGTGACTGTTTCCCCAAAGTTACTTTTGACCTCTGAGGTTCTCTTTACTTCATGTGATTTTGGGATTAAGCTGGTATTGATATATTCCTTAAGGGTGTGATTGGGAGTTGTATTTTGAGGGGGAGGGGAAGGGATGTGAGGGTCAATGACCACCCATTTTGTGTTTGGGAGTTTTTAAAAATGGAAGGAAAGATTTTGGAGGTTTTCTAAAATCCCCGTAAACCCCCAAAAAACGACTTTTCTAATTTCCCCGAATCGGGAGGTTTCGAAGGACTGCTGGATTGAATATATGGCTACTGCATCCCTAGCTACAGTGCTATACGGAATTTTCTAATTCCAACTACTCCGTAGTTTACTTTTATGTTCCACTAGCTGCAAAGCAAAACATATGAAATTTAATAATCTGCTATGGTAAGAGTTATTTGTTGAGAAAGGTGAATTTGATCTAATTTAATTTTGTGGTAAGTCATCCGATACCAGAAATTTGAATTTAAATTTTGAACTGTGAGTTTAAATATTGTTATTATTTAAATAAACATTATGATGTTTTAACATAAAATATGAGTTCTTTTTTTCCTGTGTTTTTTTACTTATCATACTTATTAGTCATTTTTCCATTAAATAAGTAATTTTTTATTTTGCTCGCTGAATTGTATAACAAAAAAACCGATTTTGCTATTTTCATAATTTTTTAATTTGAATTTGATTTTACTAAACAGGCTATGATTTGTATAGTAATTATTGAAGCAATTTTTCAAGGAAAAATATCAAAACAACTAGTAATGTGAACAATAAAAAATTATAACATCCAATGTGTATACAATGAGAAAGGGATACATGTGTTATTTTAATTAAAGTTCCTCCAAAACCATTTTCTTTTGAAATTTGTAACTCCCAAACAAGAGGAGGGAATGTCTTGCCATCTCCCTCCCCTTCCCTTCTCTCTACTCCCCTTCAAAGTCTTCCCCTCCCCTCGCCCTCAAACTCCCAAACACACCCTAAGGAAACATAGGTGCATGGGTGCATCAAAATTGTGCTTTAACTTAATTGTTAATACAATAGGCAGTTCTCAGGTATCACACTGCTCCACGAGGCCACTATGCACGTTTTCTGCTTATGCTGTTAATGTGTACTACTTTTTCAATCTGAGTTGAATCCTTAGTTGTGTTTCAGGTTTCTCAATTTGGTCAAAGAAAGGAGCAGTTTTCCACTTTTAGTTCTCATAGTATTGTGGCAGTGACACTTTCAAAATCTGTATTTGCATTTGTCCACTCTTAGGCTCTTAGCCATCTTACAATTGTGAAATAGACATATTGTGAGAAAAACAATTTTGGCCTTTCAATTACCTATGTTAACATATTTCCATTATTTTTCAATGGAGCCAAAGACTCACTATTTTTTGGCTTGGCAATATGATGAAATAAAGAAAAATGGGTCATCCGGAAACAGTCTCTCCCTGCCGTACAGGGATAAGGCTGCATACATCCGACCCTCCCCCCACCGTACTGTAGGTGAGAGTCTTTGTGGCACTGCGGTAATGTTGTTGTCATTGTTGTTGTGGTGGTTATCTATTTAACATGACACTGTTGACCCTCCAACTAAGTTCAAATACAAGTGCCAAAAATGTTAGTGTCATGACAAGGAGAAGACTAAATGTGGTAAAATTCAATAGCGCCGCTGGTCAGAGGACCAAAAGTGTAAAACTTCAAAAGAAGGGTGCCAAAAGTTGTCATTGCCACAATAGTTAAAGGACTAGAAATGTAAAGTAATGAAGAAAGCAATGACTGGTGCATTTTACAGCATTGTGTTAGAATATTATTTATCTACTTTTTCAACCTGTAACTTTCATTGTATTGAAAGATGGTGTGGTTATTTGGTGAAGATGTATAGTATATTTGTGTTTCTTCTGGGCATAGTTGATCAGACATTCAGACAGTATGAATTAAAATAAGTTTAATAAGACATGGATTCATCCTTCTGTATTTACTTTATATTCTATGTGAAAATTTTATTATCAATACCATATTGGCATATTTGATACTCAATGGATATTCCTATGAACTTGCGATATGGCTACACAAAACAAAGAAACCATATATGAAGCTTCTTGTGATGGAACTCAAGGAAGACAGTGATAAAACTTTAGACATTGATACACATGCAAAATTGCCAGAAAGCTATTCTTTTGGCCATTTAAATTTAAGGTGTCTTGAGGAGCTCAGGTGCTTCATTTATATGGTGCTGCAGCTCAAATGCTCAATGGGAGTCAAGAGTCGGGGAAATCATATTTGAGAGTTGTTATGATATAAAATACGTACCTATAAAGAATGCTCACAGTTAATAGTGAACTTGGTGAAAGTTAGACATCTCTTAATGTTTAACGCTACTAGTGAACATTTTTATGGAATATGATACCTATTATGTAATTGATGTCTTTTTCATATTTTTTATCCTTTTATTTGTTTAATCTCACTTGTATCCCTTTTTATCTTATCATTTTTATCTTTATCTTATCATTATCATATCTTTTTTTATCTTTTCTATCTTTTTTTTTATATTTTTTTATCTTTCTTATATCTTTAGCTCCGATTTCGAGCCCTTTTGGTAGCATGAAAATCGGCTGATTTGGCTGATTCTACTGAAATTTATGAAGTTCTGGCTGAAGTGGCAGCATTGGCTGATTCTGCTGATTTAAGAAAAAAAATTATTAACAAAATAAAGAAAAAATTATATGTAAAAATAGCTAAAATGGTCATCTATAATAACTTCAGTCAATACAGTCAGAAAAGTAACTCCAACCTTGCTTTTTCTGCTTATTACAGAATTCGGCGCGCGAAAGCAAAATAGTTGGCTGATAAGCCTGTTAAGCCGAAAAACGGTGTTGCCAAACGGCCTCTTCATGTGTCGATTCATGTTAGCCGACTCCAAACTCTTTTGCGACTAAGGCTTGAATGTTGTTGTTTTTGTTATATACCTATTATCTAGGATTTATATTGTTATAGAAGTATATAACAACTTGCTGGTAGGTTGGGCAGGTATGATGCATATTCGTAGATGTCCACCCATTCTTTACAACTTGGCCAAATGCAATGTCTTGATGACACTTTAACAACAAAGACATTGATTTTTCAATTTTTTTTGTAATGGTCACTGATTTTTTTAAACCGGATCCTTATCGGAAGCAGATAATGATAATAACATGACAAAGAATATTGCCTTCCCATTTTCCACACGTGAGAAAATTATTAATGCTATGATTTTAAAAATTAAAAAAGTTATATCTATCACTAATCCCTGAGCACTTGATTATTATAATTATGGGGTGAAGTAGGGTGCGAAAAAGGAACAGACATCTCCATTGACACTTGTTTGGTTATGATACTAGGAACCCAAGAATAGTGGCTGGTTAGTGCACAAATAGTTGCTCCATATATGGAATTACTATTACTAATTTACTATGTTTCCTACATACCCCCAGGCTAATAGGATAGGCATGATATTGATATGTTGTTCTGTGTTCTTATATCCTCCCAGGAAGATGCTTTTACTATTTAGTTCTTATGTAGCATTAGATGCTAAACAGTTTTTTAGCCAAAATAATACTAAAATGAATCATGTGTAAGATGCTGTGCATGCATTGGAAATTAGAGTAAGTGCAGTTGCCTGTTGTGTTTTGTCCCCCACCCAGAAGATGCCATTAAGACCATAATAATTAAATCTTTAAAATGATTGGCATGTTGAAGTAATTGACTCACATGTTAAATGGTCTGCAATAAGCTAATCTTCTACAGCCAATAAGGATAGAACACATTCCAGGACCGCAGTTCAAGGGTCAATACCAGACTGACACCAATCCTTAAAATATCCTTTTTCACATAAAAGGGTGAGAATGGCATTTCCCAGCACAAAAGAACTGCAGAAGCCTGAGAGGCTGAGACTATGCTTTTAGACTGATGTCAAAAGGTTAGTTTTAAAACATTGATGTGATTGGAAGAATTAATTGCCACGTCAGTCAAATATAGTCACAGTGCTCGTCACTTATATCCCAAGACAAGAAGCAGAAGTTTATATAGAGGTTCCAAAGCCCTGACTTGGCCTCATTATTTATTGAAGGAAGACAGTAAGTTCTATTAAACAAAGGCAAATAGATGGGGAGTTGTGTGGCTTGGTACCCTTTTATGCTAATGCTAGCAATTACTGTTGCCTTTGCCATTACTAATGTACTTCTCAAGAAACTTATCATTGATGGGTTGAACCATTTAGTTTTCATCACTTATCGGCAGTCAATTTCAACCATATTTTTAGCCCCCATTGCCTTATTTGTAGAAAGGTATGATGTTTTTTTACTCACTTTGCTCAATATTTATTCTTTTTTGAAACCTCAATAGCTAACTATATGCTTCTTTTTACAACTTTTCTGTCTCATATGGCAAACAATGAATTTTTTTACAGGAATACCAGACCAAAACTTACCCCACGCATTCTGTGTCACCTTTTTGTTAGTGCAATTGTTGGGTAAGCATTATCGTAAACTTTCAAATTTCTTCCTCTACTTGCTTGGGTTATATATATGGGGACATGTAAAATAACAAACTTACATATAAAACAGCATTCTATTCCTCAATAAGAGTGATCTTTTAGGATGAACCTACTAGACTTAATACACTTCTTAGTTAGTTCCATGTTTGGAATCTCGCAGGGCATCCGTGACTCAATACTTGTTCCTTGTTGGCGTAGAATACACGTCTGCAGCTTTCGCTTGTGCTTTTCTGAACATGGTTCCTGTTGTCACATTTTTAATGGCATTGCCTTTCGGGTATGCAGTCTCGTTTCCCTACTACCCAGTTTCAGTTCAGTTTCATTTGGAATGCAGAATATGCTAGGGAAAGAAAATAGGGAGAAATAAAATAAAAAATTTGAAGGGGAGAAAGCATTGAGAAAAGCAAATTATTGGTCCAAAGCAATAGATTTATTTTTAATACTTGTTTTAATTCATTTCATTGATTCATATTCTATTATATAAATAAATACTAAGCAATCCAAACATATGTTAAATACTAAAGACACGAATCAAATTTCATTTCACTAGCATTTTCGGGGATCCAAACATAGCCTCTTTGAATGGTTCAAAGATAAATCAGTCGAATAGTGATAATGACACAGGTTGGAGACAATAAACATCAGAAGTAACAGTGGGATAGCAAAGGTGATTGGTATAGTCATATGTCTAGGAGGTGCTCTTTTACTGACTTTTTACAAAGGAATCCCTTTAATTAAACTTCCACCACCCTCTGAAGTCGCGGCAAGTCCTTCTGCTCAAGAAACCACTAGGCCCCGTGGAGAAAGATGGATATTGGGTTCAGCGGCAATGTTTGCTGGGACGCTGTTATGGTCGTCATGGTTCCTCATTCAGTCAAAGGTTTCCAAAAGTTACCCTTGCCACTACTCTAGCACTGTCATCATGAACTTCTTTAGTGCCATACAGTCTGCTGTCCTAACTTTTTGCACTGACAGAAGCCTTTCCATTTGGATCCCAAAGAAAAAGATTGACATGGTCCATGTCACATACACTGTAAGTGATGGTACCTTATCTCTTTTTTGGTTTGTTTTTTATAAGTGGTTGTTCAGTCATTCACATCTACCAAATTCAATAATAAAATTTAGTCATTGGACAACCCCTTCTCTAATATCGACCATTTAACATGAAACCTGGGGTTTTAATATGATATTGGATTTTGTTAAGCTATAACGATCCATTCTTTCTTGGTAAATGGTAAGCATCAACAATGTATACACAAACTTCAAGATTAACAGCTTCAACGAGATGCTATTTAGCAGGGGCGTGTACGAGATCTGGTACTAATGATGAAAATTTTAATGGAAAATATGTTTGGAAATGTTATTGTACTTTTATAAAATAAAGCACCTAAATTTGAAATACTTTGTACTTCGCTTCTTTTCTTAATAAAACTTATGAAAAAGTGGTATTCTACTAGCATATTCTGAATTAAGTTCATTTTTGAATTCTCGATAGCCTACTTTATATATACTGCCCTTTTTAATGACTAGTAACACTTATTCATTAAGCGGTTTTTTGTAGCATTGTAGAATGCAAGTACGATTTCATCAGTTTCAAGAATCTTCATCCTTCTATGTACTTTTATTGTGTATAAAGTATAAACATTAGAATTTCAATATTTTCAAGCCTTTTAAATCCGTAGGCCGAGTAGTGCTATAGCACACTCTGCATGTCCTAGTAGACTGCCTCTCTCGACCGAATCCAAAAATGTAAACGTATGTATAGTCGTCTAAGACATTAGACTACTATAACCATCACTCGCCAAGATGGTTCAGTCCTTACAATATTGCACACCCGAAACAACTTTTTGGACACGTTGCAGGGGTTTGTTAGTTCGGGTTTATGCGTTGTGGGAATGTCGTGGTGTGTCAAGAAGAGGGGGCCTGTTTTCACAGCAGCATTCAGTCCTGTGGTGCAAGTTGTGGCAGCCATGATAGACATTCCTGTTCTGCATGAACAACTCCATCTGGGAAGGTGATCCTAATCTTTGTTATATTGAACCAATTTTGTTACCTTTGGTGGCCTATTCTAATTCTGCTCTGTTGCCTTGACCGACAGTATAATAGGGTCTGTCATCGTTATTAGTGGGTTGTACTTTCTGCTCTGGGGAAAGAATAAAGACATGCAGAAAGTAACACAAGAAAGGGAAGATGCAAAGGACGTGGAATCAACTTTCCAAGTTGGTGAAGCCAATGGTGGATCAAGAGCGCCATGATGATGATCAGCTTGCCCAACAATCTTCTTGTTCATGGACCGATTTTTTCTGAGTTATTAGTGTTGGGTTCATGTCAATCAAGAATGGATTGGTTACTTTTTGGTAAAGTTTTAGATGAAAGTCTCCCACAAGACCCCACCAGTGGAATGATTTCACATGGAGGTGGTGCAAATTGTCCCATTTATCATTTGAAATTGAAAACGTAAAGTTTCATTGTGTTATTTAACCTTTTATGTAATTTACCAAAAAAAAAAAAACTTCTATGTAGTGTTATAAAAGTAAGTTTATAATTTGCACTACATATGAGTAAAAATGGCACTTATATATGAGTAAAAATGCTGTGGAATTTCAAAACATGAACACTATGCTTATATTTCCTAAATAGGAGTAATTCTTATCACATTTTACCATATTATCAATTATAGCCAACTCTAACATTAAAGCTTGATAGTGCAAAAATATGACACTAATTTTACTTTTTAGTGACTTGTATTTAGGGCAAAAATCATACTTATGATTAAAATAAAGTTCATTTACATAAGTGAGACGCGCGTAGACAGTTTAGTGACTAAAATAGTGACTATAGTGTGTTATAGTAACTTATGTTCAATTTTACACTTAAGTAACATTTTAAATAATAACTTTTAGTCATATTTTTATAAATAAGTTTTAAATCAGAAACAATTTTTAAAAACTTCAAACTAATATTGTTTTAGTCCTATTTTAGTTCCAACTAATATCTCTTTTCTATAAAGAAATGTGTAATTATTTAACATCATCTATCTTAAAATTTTATATTGTTTTACTCCTATTTTAGTTCCAACTAATCTCTCTTTTCTATAAAGAAATGTGTAATTATTTAAATTTTGAATCTGACACTAATAAACTTAATAATGTGGTATCATTTCGTACGCTATAATGTACTTACATAAGAAATGTGAAAAAAGAAGTAAGGAAAAACTGTCAAATAAGCCCCCCTACTTTGTACGAAAAGTCAATTAAGTCCTCCTACTCTCAATTCGTTCAATTAAGTCCACGAAGTCTAAAAAACAACCAATTTGGCCGTTTAGAAGGTAACCAGCCGGTAAGCCCGTTCAGTGCTTACGTGGCTGCATACGTGGACGTAGTTATGATGGCTGACTAATTCTTTAATATTTGTTGATATATTTGTTGGAATTATCTTCTTATCATCTTAAAAGCATTCCCAAACGCATGTCTGAGTCTTCTTCCTCCATAGGTCGTAAAAGTAGTCGTCTTCATACGAAAGCAGATGTCATCTTCATCCGCATCTACTGCCGCTAAAGGAAGAAGCTCTACTCTTGTCTACAAGCCGCCTGTGTATTGTCTATGTGGATTGATATCCCCCTTGTGTGTCGTACGCGAAAGTGGGAGGAGTTTCTATGGTTGTCAAATATGGAAGGTAATATACCTACAACTGTATTGATTGTTGCCCTTCTTCTAGTTTTGCCATTCTTCCAATTTTAATTGTTTCCCTTCTTAAAAGAATTTTGAGGGTAAGAAATTCCGCCATAGCCAAATTTGTTCACCTGGGTTTAGGGAGTGCATTTTGTGGTAAAATTGGAATTGACTATGTGAATTAATAATTTAATTAATGAAGTGTATTAATTGTAATTTTTACATACGTGACTTTGAATTCCAGGTTAACAAGGGATGTAGATTTTTTGTGTGAAAAGATGACATGGAGACCAGAGGCACACATCATGGAGAGGAGATAAACAAAAATGCAGAGAATGTGAGGTTCATGACTACTGCAAACGTTGAACGCAGTGCTGTAAAGGACAAATAGCTTATCTTACAAAGCTCGTTGAAAATGAAGCCAAGGAACACAGAAAGTTTAGGCATTCAGTGGGTTTTGTTTTCATTGTTGTAGTTGGTTTAGTTGGTATGATTTTTGTGCACTTTAAAAAAAGATGTGCATATAATAGTGGAGTGGATTGCTTTAGTTGTGATCTGGTGTAACCAAACTTGTAATGCCTCTTTTGCATTGCTAATGGAATATGTAATTTTTAGTAATGGACATCATTTACTCTTTAATCCTTTGTTGAACTTTAGTACAATTCTAGGTTTGAACATTAAAGGCTCATGAGTAGAATTTTACCTACTGATATATCAGGGGCGAAATCACTATAGTGCCCGGAGCTGCCCGTGTCCCTGCAGTGATTTTTCTTTTTTTATAATATATGTATATATATTAATATTTAATTAGTAGAGCCCCTGCAGCCCAATCACAAAAACTCTTCCCTGGTGCAGCCTGCAGCCCAACTCCCCAAAAGCCAAAAGGCCAAGACAGCAAACAAGACCCCAAGTCCTAAGTCAATCCCCTGACCCTGCATTCAAGCTACAGCAGCGAGCCAACGCGTAGGAACAACCGAACTAGGAATAGCAAATTGGCAATTAGCGACAGAGATTGAAAGAGCATCTCACCGAGGCAGTGACGGACGACTGGAATCATCAGACTATTCACTGACAGAGCCCAGATGAGTGGACGAAGGCACGACCGTCTCTAGACTCCTGGACAGTTGGACTCCTGGTAAGCCTTTTAAGGCATGCCTTAACCTAATTGTTTTTCTGTTAATTTTCATTTAAAATTGTTTATTTGTTGAATTGTACTCGTATTTGTTTAATTCAAATAAAATGTTAATTGTTGTATACTTTTATTTGTTAAATTCAAATACATTGTTGAAGTTTCTCGGAATTATGTTGTGATAATCTCATTAAAATGTTAATTATATTGTAAATTTATAATTGTGTATTTATTGATTTAGTTAATGTTGTTAATTTGTTATAATGTAATTTATACAATTAAACTCACGAAACCATCCTTGATAGACAAAAAACGCAATTCAAAAATCAATTCTTTCTTTATTACGATAAGATTCATGTGGTTAAACAAGTAATAAGTTATTTAATAAGTATTGGTGAATATGTACCTTTTAAACTCTTTATCTTAAAATAATTTGATAAAATGTTATGTATCCTTTTTTATTTTTCAAATAATTTCCATTGACTTGTAACTTCTTACTCTTTAATGTATTAATACGTTTTTCTAGAGCACTTCAATTATAAAATTAATTGAAGTGTCTTCCCGATCGAATTTTTAGCTGAATTGTTTTTTTGGATAAACTAGACTTGATGAGGAACATTCCATAAAAATTTCATCAAAAAACTCCACCGGGAACCGCCCCAAACCGCGGCGGCCAGATCCTGTCCCTCCGGCTGGACAGGATCATTCCTCGAGTCAGTTATATCTCATATACATATATCAGCAATACTAATCAGTAATCAGTCATTTATCATATAAATACTTAGTTTGGAGAAACTCCTAAACTAACCCAAAAGTATATATGTATCACTAATGCATTTTCCGTTTTAGTGTAAATTGTAGTCCATATCAGTTACAGAACAAAAAATACACAAAGTTTATAAATAATTAAGGCGTCTTATTTTCTAAAGGATATCTTTTTGCAAAAATAAAACCTAAACACACTGGAAAATAATATTTGGTGTAGTTAACCACACAATGATACGTCAAAAGACTAAACCAAAAGTGTTCACTATGCGTTTTTAATGCACATGCTACCACTTGAGAATACTAAAAATACTAATGCTAGAAATATCATTTTGCTTCAGAATGACCCGCCATGCCGTTTAAAAAATGATTAAATGGGGAGGGGAGGATAGGTAGTGTTAATAATAAATCAGAAAAATTATGTTTAAAATTAAACCGATCCAACTCAAAGATTGTAAATACATTGAAACTCCGTCTGAAAGAAAATCAACAAAGAAATGGATACGTTAATCTAACTGATTCATTTTAAACTGCTAGTATTTTTCAATTTCTAAAAAGGGAAATGGAAAGATTTTTTTGTGACATCCCAAAATGGTAAGTCAGAAGAGTTTTATGGGACGGGGGAATATGATTTTAATGGAGTTGGTTGGAACTCGCAAAAAGCTCATGAACCTGTGTACTTAGAAATGCATGTGTTTGATCTAAGATCAAACATTCCAATGACCTAAAGCTGCTGAATCTCCAAATCACAATCCCTATATAATTCACATCTAACATTTCTACAAACATGAGTGATAAATGTGAGAATAATAAACAGGCTTAACCAGACTGGTAGCCCTGACTGTGTATTTATAATAGAATAAGTGTCCAAATACAATAAGGAAATTGCCTAATAATTAATAGTAATTAATTCTACACTATTACACCCCCTCAATCTATGCAGGAGGAACTACGCGTAGATTGTCACGTAAAAATAAAAACTGTTGTGGAGGTAAACTTTTTGTGAAAATATCAGCCAACTGAAACTTCGTAGGAACATATTGCACTAGGAGATCGCCATGAGCCACCCGTTCTCGAACAAAATGATAATCAATGTCAATGTGTTTACTGCGAGCATGCTGAATAGGATTAGCAGACAAATATGAGGCGGAAATATTATCACATAAAAGTCGTACGGGTGTACGAAGAGGGAAGCCGAGCTCAAAAAGTATGGAGCGAATGTGCAGTGTATCCTGCACTGTGTATGCAATGGCACGATACTCAGCTTCAGTGGAAGATCTGGAGACAGTGGGCTGCTTTTTGGAGCGCCATGAACTAAAAATAGCGGTTTATTAGAATAATGAAAAACATCTTGAAAGGGTAATCGTTGAGATTTACCCAATCGACACGACGTACAATCATGATTAAACGAAGAAAGACTACAAAGTTGACCAGACTTTCTAAGACCATCTAAAACTCTAGTGCCGCAATGTCCCAGTCGGCGATGCCATAGTGGTCCAGGTGCTGCACTAGTAGCTAAAGCAAAAACAGGAGACGATGACAGACGAATGGGATATAAACCGCCGCTACTGGAAGCCTGAAGAAGAACTGCCCCCGTGGTTTTGTCCTTTAGCAAAACAGAATTTTTGTCAAAAATCACCATGCAATTATTATCAGAACACAATTTTTGTATTGATAATAAATTATATTTAATGTTTGGGACATGATAAACAGATCTTAAATGGATAGGCTGGGTTGGGGAATTAATAACAATATCACCAATATTTTGAATGGGCAAATGAGTACCATCTGCAACAGTAACAGCAAGTGGTCCAGAATAAATAGACTTATTAACTAATGTACCTTCCTGAGATGTCATATGCGCAGAAGCACCGGAATCTGGAAACCAGATAGCGTCATTTGTGTCACTCATAGGAGCTGCAAGAGCAGGTGCTGAAGGTTGATTAAAACGAGAAGGGCATGACACGGCAGAGTGACCTGGAGAATAGCAAATTTGACAAACAACTGGCGGGGGAATAGAACCAAACTGTCCATCAACTAATGGAGAGCCTGCATACCTGTGGTTAGTAACAATAACAGGATAGGGATGCGTATTAAACGATGAATAAACCGTATTACAAACTGTACCTGGACGCCCCTGAGGAACTGCATTAGCCGCGGGAACCGGAAAAGAAGCGGGCTGATAATAGGCAGCCGGTGCAGGCTGTCCCGGCCGTGGGGGGTAGAACGCCGGTGATGCTACCGCGTAGCCCTGATGTTGCTGACCATACCCACGTCCGCGACCTCGAGTTCCCCGACCGCGCGGACCACGCCTACCTCGACCGCGGGCCTGCTGGAAACCACCCCGAGCTTCATAAGTTGGTGCGACTGGAGCCAACTGCTGGGCCGCAAGTGCTGTTGGTGCTGTGGCAGATTCTCTAGCGCGCAAGTATAAAATTCGCTGTTCTTGCTCCACAAGCCGAATACGGAGTTTGTCAAAGGTAAGACCTTCGGGAAAAGTGGTCAATGTAGTAATGATAGACTCGTATTCGGGACCTAGACCAAGCATTGTTGTTTCAAGTAAATCTTTCATGGACACCGGAGAATTAATAGCGGCTAGAGCATCTGCAATTCGCTGAATTTGGAGCATATATTGTTCCATAGTTTGGTCTTCTTTCTTCCTGGAGTTAGTAAGCATCCGTTTCAATTCCATGGAACGAGCTAAACTTGCTGCCATAAAACGAGACTCCAAGCGCTCCCAAATAATGGCCGAAGTCTTCAGAGTATGAACTTCAATGAGTATATCACGGGATAAAGTAGCAAACAGCCAGGATCGAACTGTTTGATCTAACTTTAGCCAATAATAGTAGTCGTTGTGAACAACTTCCCTCCGAATTGTACCATCAACAAATCCAAGTAAGCCATGGGATACCAAAAACGACTCAAATTGAGTCCTCCAAGGGAGATAATCTTCTACCGCATCAAGTTTAGTAGTGACAATATTGGTAATATTGGGAGCAGAAAAACCCATGGATTGAGCGATAGCTTCGAGGGAACCTGATGGTGTGGGAGTTGGAACACGACCAATCGAACGAAGCGGACTTACTGGGGCCAGACCTTGCTGGCCGGACAGAGTGGGGCCGCCGAAGGGAAGACGGGGCTGGTCTGGTGCGATTGGTGGACCGGATGAAGACGAAGCAGACGAACGTTGAACCATGGATGGTGATGACCAATCAAAAACCGGCGGAACCCAGGCTGTCAATTCCGGTGGAGAACTTGGCATCGGAAACGGTAGGCTAATAGCCGGCTGCAACACAGTTGAAGTGGAGCCAAAAGAGAAAGAAGCCGGTGCCGTCGACATCGCGATGGACGGAGGCATGTTAACTGCCGGAGTAGATGCAGCCGCAGTGGGCGGCGCAATACTGGAGGTAGGGGCGGCGGTAGACATTGATTGAGAAAAAAAAAAACCCTAAGCTCTTGATACCATGTGAGAATAATAAACAGGCTTAACCAGACTGGTAGCCCTGACTGTGTATTTATAATAGAATAAGTGTCCAAATACAATAAGGAAACTGCCTAATAATTAATAGTAATTAATTCTACACTATTAATAAATAGCAAACCTGATGCACCCTTAAAGAGGATGGTAAACCCCAACAATATTCTCTTCAAGGTCAATGAAGAATAAAACCACATGTAAATAGTAATGCCCCGCATCGGAAGAAAATACTACTCAGCAAATCCAGTGTGGAAGAAATCATAAACTTCCACACTGGAAACTTCTTTCCAGATTAAAATTAAGTACGAACAGATTGAAGTAGACAAATAACATGTAGTGTATGTTTGCGCAGAGCATTGAACTTTAACTGTTAATAGCCTCTTCAAAATTTGTATTTCAACACATTGTTATTTTTTCTACTGGAGCTTAAAAGACAAACTCACAACTTCTAAGTCTTAAGAGTAAAGAATTCAGAAAATGAGAAATAAGACAAAGAAATTTAAAACATAAAAGAAGACTCAGAAGTCAACCTTAGAAGCTTAAAATAAGAAAACCTTTAAGCTTGAAGAAGACCATGTAAAACTTAAAGAAGAGTAATAACCCAAGCATAGAAGCTTAATATAAGAAAACCTTTTTTCTGCAAAACTAATTTTTATAGGAAAAATGAGAAAACTTCTAAAGACTATACCCAATTTAGTTTTCTTTTTTGAAGAACTAAACATTTAACTTGTTAGTTGAAATGTTATAACTAAATTAGTTGAACTCTTTGTACAAAATGGAGATGCTTAGATGTGATAACTATGTTAGTTGAACTCTTTGCCTATTTGACATGGCTCAGCCAAAAATTTCAGGATATAGGAATAAGAATTTCACATTACCCATTCGTTTTGGACGACATTCGTGTCCGCAGGTCGCCCGCGCTCGCAAGTCGCGGTTTTTCTTCTCCGATTTCGGTATTTGATTTGCACCTCTTGCGCGCGTGAGGGAACCTTTACCCTTAGGAATCTTAACTCCCTGAGGGGGGTTTCCCTTTATAAAGTGTTGCAAATCCCTTGGGTTTTCCGGTGTGGGAAATAACACACTAGAAACTCATCATTTTTCTCAGTTTTTCCTTTCTAACTGGTAAACTTCGAGAATCGGTTTCTCATTTACCCGTTATCCGTTTTGAGTGTACCATATATCGAATTGTAGCTCTTAACAAGGACAATCCGAAACCACTTTGACCCGACCCAAATCGGAAGCGGATCCCACTCAAAATTACCCCAAAATTACCATCTAATGCAATTTTCAACACATTTTCCAACAGATATAAATGTTGTCCTGTATGTATTAATAGAATTTTTTTGAATAAAAAATAAGCGTAAAGCTCTACACTAGCGAAAAAAATTGCTCCGCTGCACTAGCGAAAAAATTTCGTCCCACAACACTAATAAAAAAATATATCACTCCCTACACTATCGAAAAAATTTCACCCCCTTGACTCCAAATCCTGGATCCGTTCCTGATCATGGCTGCCACAACTTGCACCACGGGCCCCCTCTTCTTGACACACCATGACATTCCCCCAACTTAAAAACCCGAACAAATTTAACAAACCCTGCAACATATCCAAAAACTTGTTTCGGGTGTGCAACATTGTGAGGACTGAACCATCTCGACGAGAGATGGTTATAGTAGTCTAACGTCTTGTATGACTATACATAGGTTTACATTTTCTGATTTGGTCGAGAGAGGCAGCACTACTTGGCCTACAGATTTATAAGGCTTGAAAATACTGAAATTATAATATTTATACACAATAAAAGTACATATAGAAGGATGAAGATTCTTGAAACTGATGAAATCCCACTTGCATTCTACAATGCTACAAAAAATTGCTTAATGAGTTAGTGTTACTCGTCACTTATAAGGACAGTTTAGATAAAGTAGGCTATCGAAAATTCGAAAATGAAATTCATTCAGAATATGCTAGTAGAATACCTCTTTTATGATTAGAAGGTTTATTAAGAAGAGGAATGAAACACAAAGTATTTCGAACTTTGGTGCTTTATTTCATAAAAATAGAATACCATTTTCAAATTTCTTCTCTTTTCCACATTTTTCTTCATATTTGCTTTCAAGGAAATTAATCTTTTATTAATCATCAACGTTAACTTTTATTTTCTTCTTTTATTCATGCTCACATGTATTTGTAAATAAAAAATACACGCATAGAACCGTACTAATACAAACTAAGGCTTGCACCCTAAGTTTAACCCTACTCCTCTTTAGCCCTTAATGTTTTTCTCTCTGGCAAATAACCTATCCGGTTACTCACTTATTGAACTGGCCTTTGGCCACTTGGTTTTCTATCCGTTGCTTTGTTTGGTGCCTCCCTGTATCTTTTTGTCTTCAAGCCTTGTGACTTGTATAAGTCAGAGTGTAGCCCCTTTCCTGAAGGGTGCAACAAATACATTGAGTGTATGAGTGAACCTAGAGCTGGCCATCAGTCCTGGTCTTCTTCGTGAGGTACCAAAACAGTGAGTGTGTGGGCTGATTTTCTTCTTCTTGTAAAGCTTCCTTGTGTGGGAGCTAGAGAGGTGTGAGAGGTTAAGCTTGGAGAGTGATGGGGTGGCTAAACATCCTGGGGTGGTGTGTGTGAGTTGTCTTGGTTGGAGACCTGAGCTGAAATACACACCCAACACAAATGATAAAAATATGTACAAAAATACAACTTCGATAACTAAATTTATTAACAAATTAAGCCTAAAAGTGTGTAAAATAGAAGCACATCAGTGGTTTCATATAAGTGCATAACCTTGAATCTGTGTTTATTTGGTCCATCAAAAGTCCAACACAAGATTCATTACAAACCTTAGGGTCAATTTTTGTCCCTTCTCCCTTTTGCATAACTTTTTCAGATCAATTGGTTAAAATAAAAATTGGGCTGCAATGGGAGATCTGTATATTTGAGTGATTTATACTCTCATTATCACAATTTGACTGTTTTATCTTTGAACTATTCAATGAGGCTATGTTTGGATCTCCGAAAATGCTAGCGAAATGAAAATTTGATTAGGATCTTTAGTATTTAACATATATTTGAAAAGGCTCACTAATTAGTCCATGCAATTCTGGACGTAATTTTCACTATGGGTCATCCAGAAATAGTCTCTATGTGCTTTAGTACATCCTACCCCCTTACCTCACCATAGGTGGGAGCCTTTGTGGCACTGGGTAAGTGAGAATGATGAATAGAATATGAATGAATGAAATGAATTAGAACAAGTATTAAAAAATAGATCTACCGCTTTGAACCAATGATTTGCTTTCTCCCCTTCAAATTTTTTATTTTATTTTTCTCCTTTTCTTTCCCTAGCATATTCTGCATTCCAAACGGAATTGAACTGAAATTGGGTAGTAGGGAGACAAGACTGCATACCCGAAGGCATTGCCATTAAAAATGTGACAACAGGAACTATGTTCAGAAAACCACAAGCGTAAGTTGTAGACGTGTATTCTACACCAACAAAGAACAAGTATTGAGTCACGGATGCCCTGAAAGATTCCAAACACGGAGGCACGAAGCTAACTAAGAAGTGTATCAAGTCTAGTAGGTTCATCCTAAAAGGTCACTCTTACTGAGGAGTAGCATGATGTTTTGTATGCTAGCTTGTTATTTTACATGTCCTCATATATATTACCCAAGGAAGTAGAGGACGAAATAAAGCAAGTTTATGATAATGCTTACCCAACAATTGCATAAACAAAAAGGGGACACGGAATGCGTGGGGTAAGTTTTGGCTAGTATTCCTGTAAAAAAATCATTGATTCAAAAAAATCATAGGAGACAGAAAAGTTGTAAAAAGAACCATATAGGTAGCTATTGAGGTTTCAAAAAAGAATAAATATTGAGCAAAGTGAGTAAAAAAGCATCATACCTTTCTACAAATAAGGCAATGGGGGCTAAAAATATTGTTGAAATGATGAGTTTCTTGAGAAGTACATTAGTAATGGAAAAGGCAAAACTAATTGCTAGCATTAGCATAAAAGGGTACCAAGCCACACAACTCCCCATCTATTTGCCCTTTCTTAAAACAGCTTACTGTCTTCCTTCAATAAATAATGAGGCCAAGTCAGGGCTTTGGAACCTCTATATAAACTTATGCTTCTTGTCTTGGGGGATATAAGTGACGAGCACTGTGACAATATGTGACTGACGTGGCAATTAATTCTTCCAATCACATGAATGTTTTGAAACTAACCTTTTGGCATCAGTCTAAAAGCATAGTCTCAGGCTTCTGCTATTCGTTTTTGCTGGGAATTGCCATTCTATGTGAAAAATGACACTTTAAGGATTGGTGTCAGTCTGGTATTGACCCTTGAACTGCGGCCTGGTGTGTGTTTTATCCTTATTGGCTGTAGAAGATTAGCTTATTGCAGACCATTTAACATGTGAGTCAATTACTTCAACATGCCAATCTTTTTAAATATTTAATCATTATGGTCTTAATGGCATCTTCTGAGTGGGGGGACAAAACACAACAGCCAACTGCACTTACTCTAACTTCCAATACATGCACAGCATCTTAAACCTAATTTATTTTGGCTTAAAAAACTGTTTAGCATCTCATGCTGCTTGAGAACTCAATAGTATCACCTCGAATTTGGAGTGTCAAACTTTCAATTAACCTATAATACAGATGATATAACTTTTACACACAAAATAAAAAACAGACTTTCAAGATCAATCCTAATAAAATTTGTGTGGACTGTAGTTAGCTTTATTGGTTTTGTAATACATCTTATTTAACGGTCAAAGGTCTCATGGTTATGAAAAGGCAAGATTAGTTGGGAAATAACAATTGAGGATATAATTTACACTCTATAGGAATACACTAAAGAAACCTTGATTTTCCAGACCAATTGCCAATAAATACTATCTCCGATCATAGGTGAATCATATGATTTTCCTATGTGGTTTTACGTTATTTGCCTTAAGTTGAACCGAGCAAGACCACAAATTTCTGTCTGGAGAAAGCTCAAACATTAGTGTTGGTACTCATCTATCAACCTTTTTATTACAAATGCTGCACTCAGATCAAAACAAAAACATGAAATATAGTAGAACAGGTTCCAACTATAATGCTTTTAGATCTAAACAATAACAAAGTCATAGGAAAAAATACAAAGAAAGCAAAGGCTACTGAAAACAATTTCAGAACAGTTTTAGCTGGTTGTGGAGGTTGGACATATGGCGGGGACGCTGCTGGGATAGTGAGATTTTAAGAAGTGGATCTGAATTTGCTCTTCTAGCTAAACCTTCAACTACTTTGCTCCCTTATCTCATGAAATGTTCAATCATCAGAATACGAAGGTTTGAACCCTTCTTCAACAACAGTTATGGATTCTAGCTTATTAAGAAATGTCCTCCAACCTGGTTCATCTTTGGGTAACTCTGTGATTTTTTCTCCGGCAGCTGTGAAAATTAAATCACAACCTGGAGCTATTTCATCATCTTCTGCTCCCAAGCCAGGTTCATTTCCGCTCCACGTTGCCCAGAGATAGTGGAGAGCCTGAGTGAAACATTCCCTGTCTTTTATCAGGGAATCAAGAAGTAACATGTGGGAGTTTATCAGTACTAAACCAGTTTTCCGCTTGAATGTTACAGGAATTTCGAAACCACAGAATTGCCAATTTTCATCCATCAAAATGTGATCAATATCTGAAACAAAGTCTGTCCAGGAAATCAGAAGCGGGTTCAACTCGGCACCTCCCTTCTTGAGATACTTAGCATCAAAACCCTTCCAGGGCCAAGCCACATGGGAAGTAACAGATGGTTGACGTCCAGCCGCACCAGATACTTTCCTTGCAAACGAACTGAAACCCCTTACTCCCACCAAATTGATATCAGCAACTTTTTCTTTTTCCACATGCCGGAATTTCCTTTTATAAACTGGAATGGTGTGTTCCATTTCCATCATCGGATCTTCATCACTTGAACTTGACGGTAGAGAACGTATAGTCCGCTGTATCCCCCTCCCCCCATCTGAGTCACTGTCATAATCATGCTTACGTTTAGTTCCCTGAGATTTAGAATTCAATCACCAACACGGGTCAAAGGTCAATTCTTGGGGACATAAATCTGTCACAGTATAATTAAGTGATGATATACAAGCATGCATGTCAATGATAATATAAACAGATTATGGCACAAACTTATCCATTTCAATGTGATGCAAGCATGCCACCTTTTTAGTTGGAGGGACTAAAGGCCTCTCCCACAGATGATATGTTCCTATGTTTAGGTAGTTTGTAATGGCATCAGAGTGAAGTGACGTGCTGATTCCTAATGAACTACAGTAAAAATAAGGATATATAGATCCGTAAGTAGGCACCAAATGCAGTAGGCTAGGAAGTGAATTGTAAACATGTAAAAGTTGAGGCAAATAACTGGATGCTAGGCTGTGAAAGCAAGGCTGAAATACACGGTCAAATGAGTAGCCTCAAGTCCATGGACTTATCAACCAGTACGATTTGCATATATATGTTGTACATTATAGATCCGGTCAAAATAGAGAGTAATACTTATGATTGTGACGTATATCCCTCGTAGCAGAAGCTAAACATAGCAGATATGAGCAATATAGCAATTGATCACATACGCAAAGTGGAAAACACATACACATGCGGCGATCCATATATAAACTCGAACAATTTAAATCAATCATGCTATTTGCTAACATACGTACAGAGATAGTAATAGTTATTAGCAGTCTTATTCGACAACAACAACAAAATTACTGATTAATGCGTAAGCAGGAGCCAGATGAACTTCGGCATATAATAACTGATCCAGAGTGAGGAAGATAGCAACAATGCAACCACGGATTGAAAACAAAAGGCATATTGCCATACCTGAGCAGAAGAGCTAGTCGGTTCAGATTTCTCCATAACTCCCTGTGAAGCACAACGTTGAGAAGGCTCTGCAGAAGCTCTGGAATGATATCTCCTACGCGATGTCGTGAATAGTGTCCGTCATCGAAGTGCAAGAGAGAGGAGAAATGTTGTAGCACACGAACTGAAGTAGTGCGAGTAACAACCGTATATGTAGGGAAGAAGAATGAGTGAGAATTACAGTTTTGCTGTTATTTATGCAATGATTTGATTAACTAACTTGCTAACTAATTGTGAGCTAACTATCTACTAATCTTGTTATGCTGTGGCGGGAAAGAGTTAATCCAACAGTGAAGAGTTTGAATGCTTAGTTATATTCCCCCCGCCGTTGAGAATGGTAAAATATACCCAGGCTATCGCCGAGTCTGCATCTGAGGTGCGCTCATTGGTTTCACCTTTTCCGTTTTTCTTTTTTGCTTTTCTATTTCCTTGCTTTTCCGATTTGGTGTTGCTAATCTATTACACTCAGTCAGACGATTGTGAAGAATAGTTGAATTGGCCGCTGTTGTTATTTCATTGCCGGGATGATGGTGTGTTGGAGAGAAGGAAACCGCCATACCTGCTTTGTTGCCGTTGGAGGTTGATTTCCAGATTGAATTGCGGCCGGCCAGATTGATATTTGCTTTTACCTTTTTCCTTCTTTAGTTCTTTCTTTTTCTTAATTTTTTTATTTTAATCTTTATTCAATTATAAAATATTTTAGATATTAGGAAAAATTCCCGGGATATGACTAAAACAAAGTGAGTTTCTCGAAATGTGACTAGTTATGTTTTTTTCCCGAAATATGACAAAAAATCGAAAAAAAAAAAAAAGATTTTTTCGTTTTATTAAATTGTGGAAGGACAAAAATACCCTTTTTTAAAAAATATGCATTTTACACCAATTTCGTCCGGGTAAAAATATTGCACTTCATGAAGGCGTTATTGCACTACATTTATTGCACTTTATGGTGGTATTCACTGCACGACATAACATTACATAAAACGAATTTAGCGTTTTTTAGATTTCATAACTTTAGTTCTTACATTTGGTTAATATTACATACGATAGTATAATGCTATGAATTTATAGATATTTTTTCATGTCATTTTTAATGAACTTCTTTTCATGTCATTGCACTTTTTACATTATTGCACTTCTTGCCATATCATTGCACGTTTTGTCATAACTCATTGCGCTTCTTGTCATGTTCACGGCATTAAATATAAATTATTCATTGCACACTTATTTCATCGTCTTCAACCTAGGTTCGCCTTCAACCTCGGTTCGCCATCAACCTTGGCCGCCTTGACTGAAAAAGCTGAGTAGTAGGAGCGGCAGAGGGGCGCGGCTGAGCGGCAGCGAGTTGGATCGAGTGCAATCTGACGGAGACGAGGACGGCAACGCTCAGGGCTGGGGGCGATGTTCACGAGCATGAATCGGGATGGAGGCGGCGCCCACGGCTCAGGACGACAGCGGCGCACAACGAGCATAGGCTGGACAACGGCGGCAGCAAGTGCAGGCTAGACCAAGGAGGCGGATGGAAGAGGCGAGCATGGGCTGGGCGGAGGAGGCGAGCGCGGGCTTTACCGAGGAAGCAAGCATGTGCAGCTGATGGCGAGCAGGCGGCTGTATGGCTGGGCTGTGGTACGGCAGTAGCTCTAGGCGGCGGCGCGATGGCAGCGGCAGGACGGCAGCGGGTTGTGCGGCGGGCTGTTGGAGGCTAGACGCTAGGGTTGAAAATTGGAGTAGGTGATTAGGGTTTTATAGGCATAACGTAAAGGGTATATTAGTCCATAAAAATTAATTATTTAATTATTAATTACGAAATTAATTAATTATTATATATATATTATTTTGGGGAAAAAACTTGTTAGGTCATAGATTGGGAAAGTAGAAGAGTTTTAGTCATACCTAGAATAATTATTTCTAGATATTAATGTTTTGTTTTTCTATATCTCTTTTTGTAAGTTACGTATGCTCATTTAATATTCGTTTTATGCTCATTTTAAAATGTCATATCAATACACAAATGAATATTGAGCACATATTGATCATAATAGAAACGAGTTTTATGTTAAATTCAAATGAGTATAACGTTCAAAATGATTGAGCACACAAAAATGCGTTTTAAATTTTTGATACTCATTTGTAAGTTATGTATGCTCATTTAGTATTGTTTTATACTCACTAAATAGGACTAAACACGTTTTTATATTCCAAAATAGGACTAATTAGTAAAATGTTTTGGCAGTACCGTACTTTAAACATAATGATATTTTCCAAGCTTGACAACAATTAGTCAATTACTCATATTTTTAAATTCTAAAACTTTTTTACTCCTGTTTCCAACGTTTGTAATTACTCAATGCCTGACCGCCTTATTGCGTGCCTAAGCTTATTCCATGGATATATGGCGTACAATTTCATTTCTAATTAGGGGTGGGCATGGTCCGGAATGATCCGGGTAATTGATAAATTTTCAAGCACCCGCGGTTCGATATAATGGGTAGGTTTGATCCGTGTATACTAAATCTCGAAATAGGAACCGGACCTTACCCACCTCGTTTGAAACGGGTCGATTTGGTCCAGATTCACAGTTAAAAAATACTGCTACACAAACAAAATATCCAGCATGTACTAAAATTTTAAACTAATTATGTATCAATGCACCATATCATATAAAAATTCAAAATAAAAATAACAAATGAAGTTTTGAATTAGTTAACAAAATATCTAACCACAAATATATAAATTAAATAACAAACAACTACACAAATTAAATAACACCAAACTTTAAAATCCACAAAATTAGACATCAATCATCCATAAACTAAAAGGACAACAACACAAGTCATAAGAAATTAGACTAGTCATTGTACATACATGTTTAATATTTAAAACTTAATAAATATCTAAATGTGAGTAAAATTATGCTAATTAAATTAGTATGTCACACTTTATTGAGAAAGAGTCTTTTTAAAAACAACAAAGAAAGTTTGATGCATTTGGAATAAAGAAATGAGAATAATAATTTAGCAGTTTATATGAACTTAGAAAAACTTTTTAATAATTCATGAATATGATTTTTTTGGGTGTTATTATTATATTATACGGAGTATTAAATATAATACTCATTTTAAATATATATATTTCTTGAAATGAGTCGGTCTAGGTACCCGTTTTTTCAATTTGTAATACCCATATGATTCCTAAATTTTTTAGAACCCACCTGCCCCGCCCCGTTTGTGTATTTCAAAGTTAGAACCCCGCCCTAACCTGTCCTGAACCAGTATTATCCAGTCTGACCTGCGATTTTTGTATCGAATTAGTCTTATGGAGTGTTTGCAAGTGCTTGTGCTTAAAAAAAGCACTTTTGGAGTAATTGAGAAAAAGTGATAAGTAGTAAAAGTTGATAGTGCTTGAGAAAAGAGTGATTTTGAAAAGTAAAGGGAAAACTGTCAAATAGGTCCTCGACCTTTCATAAAAAAGTCAATTAAGTCCTTCAATAGGAGACTCTGTCCGATCGTCACGATTTGGGGCGGTTCCCGGTGGAATTTTTTGATGAATTTTTTTGAGCATCTTATTCATCAAGTCTAGTTTACTCGTACCAAATTTCAGCTAAAAATTTAATCGGGAGTGCATTCAAATTAATTCGAGAATGCAAAAATGCGCAGTTATCTTCAAGAATTAATTTGAATGTATTCCTGATTGAATTTTTAGCTGCAATTTGGTATGAGTAAACTAGACTTGGTGAATAAGATGCTCAAAACATTTCATCAAAAAATTTCACCGGGAACTGCCCCAAATCGCGACGGCCGGACATAACATCCTCTAGAAGGACTTAATTGACCTTTTTATGAAAGTTCGAGGACCTATTCGACAATTTTCCCAAAAGTAAAAGTCGGTAATGTTTGGTAAAATACGTGTTTTTTGTGTAATAGAAAAGGAAAAAACACTTCTCACACGCAAGGCGTGAAAAAGTAAAAATTAGTAGTATTTGGTAAATAAGTGCTTTTTTAAGCCAAAAGTTGAGAAGTGTTTTTTTAAACTATTGCAAACATTCCCTTACACAATAAGGCTTGCGGTGGCGTTCACTCTTTCACGTCTGATTTTTAATGTTGATTTTGGGCCAAGTAGGCCCACTATTTAATAAACCACGCTTGTTGTATCCATCACTTTGTATCTACCTTATACCCACCTCCGTGAAGGTTATTTTTTTTGTCTGTGAAGCCGGTTCACAGACAAAATATTTCTTTGAATTCTTCACAGACATATTTTGTCTGTGAAGGAATTTACAGACAAAAAAAATAACTTCACAAACATGGGGGAGTACAAAAGTTGGTATAAAAGTGGGTACAAACATCATTTTCTTTTAATAAAATACAAAACCACAATCAATCTGTACGCAAGTCCTTCACGCTGCCGCTGCACCTTCTTCCTTATTCATCTCATTCTTCATCTAACAAAAGCATCTCTTCTACGGTACTGCCTTCTCTTCCTTCCTCTGCTCATGCGGTTTCATTGTATGTTTGTTTGATGCTTTTTGGTTAATTTTCTCTTAATATCTACCCCTACAATCTCCCTATTATTATTATTCCAGTTCTTGTTCACTTGATTAATTCAAACCATTCTTAATCTCTTACTCTATAGATCAAATTTTTAACAAATTTGATTCTGATTTTTGAGATTTTGTAAATTTTTTAATGCAACTTTTGAATATGTAATTTTTTTCTTAAAACTAATTGAGTGTTTCGTTTACTTTATCGTCCTTCAAACGTTTAAACAACAATCAAACAATAATATTCTTTTCGTCTCACTTAAAGGTTCTCATACGATTTACGATGTTTGACTGACCATAAAGCTAAATCTCTGTCATTAGTAGATTTATTTTTACTAAATAAAATATACATATTCAAAAACTACATTAAAAATTCTATATAAAAAATTAAATTTAATAAAAATTGAATATATACAATAAAAGATAAAAGATTAAGAACAATGAAAGCTTAAAGACAAAAACCTTTAAATAAGACGGAAAATGGGACGAGGAGAGTAACAAAATACCCGTACGTAGTAAAATACTAAAATAATAGAGGGACAGGGGTGAGTTTCCCGCATCCGAACATTGGAAACGCGTATCCGGCCCGTTTTTTAATTTTGCCAAAGTTGGAAACGAGTTTCCTCATACAAAACAGAATTTGGGAAATACTCCCTCCGTCCCTTATAACTTTGCCAACTTTTCTTTTTTGGCCCACTAACTTTGCTACTTTCCCTTTTAAGTAAAGAATTTGTGGTTCCAATTAATTCTCTCTCCTCTGCTCAAACCTCAACCACACGGTTTTTACTTTATTAATCCCGTGTCGGTCAAACTTGTGGCAAAGTATTGAGGGACGGAGCTAGTATATCTAGAATTAAACCTCTCGTCTTCATTCTTCAACCCTGGCATCGTCCAATCATCGTCGAGGTGTGAAGGCGTCGCTGATTTTTGGCCAGTCTAACCGCAGTCGCCTGTTTAAGACTGTAGGTTTTTTTTTATTAAAAACAAAGCCCATCGTAGAAGATCCTCAAGACTTAGAGAGTCTAGAGACGCAAATTGGCAGGAAGCAGACGAACGCACAGAACTCCCAAAGTCTTTTTCAGCCCTTCGCCGGCTTCAGCAAACGTTTTCATCTTGGTGAGCAGGTCTCAGCAGCTTTCAGTAACTCCCAGACTCTGAAATCGTTCCCCTTACCCGGTCTCGCTTGACCTCTGCTCTTCTTCGCTTCATAAATTCGTAC